TCCCTCGCCTCTCTTTCTCTGCATAACCATTGCAAAACATATTTTAAATGGAGCACAGGTCAATATGTGACACAATCTGTAGGGCCATACTCCTGAATGTGTAAGTTACTTTACTTGTTATTAAAGAAACATTTATTTAAATTGCCCAACTGGCCCTATATTCATTCATCAGATTGAAGCATCAGCGGCCCCTGGCTAATAGGCAGGAGGAGAATAAGGCTATAGTTTCATAGCCAGAGGCAGTGGGGAATCTGGAATCACAGTGTGTTTCCCCTCCCTCCAGTCTGGCTGCTGGAAGGAATAATGAGAGGTCAGCTTGTGTCTTGCCCCTAAAGCCATTCAGTGCTAAGCATTCATTTAATTCCACTGCTTGCCCTGAATGAACAGATAACCACTCACCAGAAAAGTGGGGAAGTGAATGATATGATAATGTTGGTGTTAGCATTATTTGTCACTAAAACTAAATAATAATAGTAATCTGCCATTCTCTGTATATAGAACTCATTATTTCCAGTGCTTTTAGCTTTTGTCCATGCATTGCCTTTTCTCTGATGCATTCAGTGGAATTCTTAGTGTACTCAGAGCTAAAAGGTTTGAGGGAAGAGTTCTATGCAATCTTTATTTCAGAATGCCACATGTTGCACTGCAGTATTTTCATACCAATTTGAGGCCTTGCCTCTGTGTGTGACCCCAAAAAATGTAAGTTTAAAGAAGTATCTCAACAGAGAGAGAACTTGATTATATTGAGCTTTAATATTCAAAAAGACATCAACTGTATTATAGCACAGGTGAGTTTAAGAATCACCCTTTCAAACATGTATTAATGACATGAAAAGTTGTATTTGTTTCTGAGTTTCAAGTTAATATCAATTTTATTAAATCTTGAAATCTCAGATACCTTAAAAAACACGTGTTCAATGCAAGGAAGTAATGGTCCTTTTTATTGCTATAGTTATTTTTGTTTGCCGTGTTTATATATTGCCGTTTATTTTCCCATTCAGTTTCCTAGTTATGAGTAATTAAGACCAGGTAATATTCTCTTTCTCTTTATCTCTCTCTCTCTCTCTGTTTTTAACAGTAAAACTCCCAGGTCTCAGAACTTATGTAGATCCACATACGTATGAGGACCCCAATCAGGCTGTCCATGAATTTGCCAAGGAACTAGATGCTACTTGCATATCCATTGATAAAGTTGTTGGAGCAGGTAACAGCCTTAATCAGTATCAAATTTAAGTCAGGGGGTGGTATCATCAGTATATTTCCCTAGAACTTTATGCCATTTGGATTAATGAATTATACCTGGACACATTAAGACAGACCTGGGAAAAGTGTCACTGTAACATTCTGTTTTCATAGTAAGAAGGGAACGCTTACTGAGATGAAGTCGAACAAGTTGACTTTAGTGCATGTGAAAGTTTGAGGGTTGCCAGTTCTGAAGACACGCATCTGTGATTTTTTTGCCAACGCAGGCATAGCACAGACAACAACGTGCTCACTTTCCCAAAACTACAACTCCACTCTTTTTTGGAGAAAGCACCACAAAAAATGAAAGAATCTCTCATCATGGGAAACAGTGCTAAATGTAAAGTTGCATTTTGTTATATGGACACATGCCTATTAGGATTGAACTCATACCTCAAAGTTACTTCACACAGGTCACAAAACTGCTATCAAATTGCTTTGACCTTTGATCACTGGGCTGATTTTGGTCACTGGTTTGGATTTGCATTAGTGATTCAACAGTGAAGGGCTCTCTGCCCTATAAACATTTTTCTGAGCATACAGATGCCCCTGAATGCTGATTTTAATAAAAAGTAAAAATGGGTGGAACAATATAGTATGTAAACCATCATATGATGAACACTCACTCATATATTGTCACAAAATATGATTTGTCATATCAGGAAATTAGCATTTTAGCTTTACTCCTAAATGAAATAATTTGAGTGCAAATCAGAATCAATTTTTAATCCATTGAAAATTACCAGATAGTCTCTGTTTTTATTGTTTCCTTCTGGTTTATTCCTAATATTTTACTATTCTAATTAAAAAAAGAAGAAGAAAAAGGAAAGAAAGATTATTCTCTTTTGTTGCTGCTACTGTCAGTGTTGCTGCTACTGTCAGTGTAAGTGTGAACAAGTCAGATTATTTTCCACAGTAGTGAAATCTGTGATATGTGCTAGTTTTAATTTTACCCCACAAGAGTGCACTGTTCTCCATCTTGTTTAATAAAGGCAGTGTAGCAGTGTGCACACTACACGCAGATGTGGCAGACATAACATGGGGTGGGGGACAGAAGGAGAGAGAGAGATTCAAAAATCTGAATTCAGGAACAAATTGTGTTTCTTTTAAGCTGTCCACAGTCCTCCCAGAAAACCTTAGAGTTCCCGGTAAATATGTTAGGTTCCATGTACCATAGAAATCTTCAAAGCAGAAGATCTGAAACTGTACCCAGTATATAGATCGTTGTTATGAGTTACTTTTATTATGGTGCATATAAGATTGAACAATTAACTACATTTTTTAAAAAATGTGATATGAAATTGGGGGAATGGACTAGGTTCAGAGAAGCCTGAAAATAAATGCATCACAAAGCAGGAGAGAGGAAGATTGTGGAGGGGGGGAAGAAATTCAATGTTTCTTCCCATCCTAGTAGAAATGCCAATAAGTTTGGCCCTGAAAACCTGCAGATCCCTGGAAAGCTATACTGATCTCAGAGGAGCTGACAGATGGGTGAGCTCTGTGGAGTCCTGGACCTCAGTACTGCCTCTAGTGTCCCTAGTTCCATACCCAACTCATGGCAGCATGTCTATCATAGACTCCTCAACCCATGAAATAGCCTGGAGGTATTATTAAATTAGGGATGTGGATTAAAGCTTGCACTCCTTTGATCCGCATCCCTAATTTCTTCTCTGTCTGTTCCCATATGTAGGGGAGAGCATTCTGGCTTTATTTAAAATGCTATTTGAGCCAGTGTCTTTCTGTGTTTCCCTTTATATTAGCCACCTTCTTTACAAATGTGGGTAAGAACAGAGGAGTGGAATGGTGAGGTAGAAGTAGTAGAAGTGACAAGGAATTTTGGCTACCCATGAAATTAACAAGTAGACACCAGATTCTGAGAGGTAATCTTGACATTTTGGTGTAGTTCCTCAAATTTTTCCTCGGGGCTTCAACTATGAGACTTTAATGTTACTTTGAAAATATATCCCTGCATAACAAGGAAATATCTCTAATGGAACCTCAAAGGATATAAGGGGACTTAGAGGCTGAACATCAGTCAATCCAAGTTAGGCTGCCCATGTTCAAGTTTTCAGCACATGCATTCCTTTATGTAAGACCATTCATTTATTTTTTAGCCTCCAATGCAGCAAAGTATTTAAGCATTGGTTTAAAAGGGGAGTTAAGTGCATAGAAAGAACTTTCTTGAATGAGAATGGAGTTAAGCACTGCTTTGCTCAAACAGGGCCCAAGTGTTTGTGTTTCTTTTGGAGACTGAACAGACATCTAATATAATGTGTTGCTAAACAATGCACATCTAACATGTATGGAGGATTAGCTACTCCCTTGTCAGTAAAGTTTGTAGCACATTAATTACGGTTTGTAAAGTATGTCTCTGAGACTGATGAGGTGCACAAAGTCTATGAAATTTTCATCCTTGCTGCCTTCCCAATCTATGGTAGAACGCAGCAGCTGTAGCTTTCATTAATAAGACACTAAAAGGAGGGCAGTTCACAAGCTCATCTACTATTTTTTCACTATATCTAAATTCACAACAAAATGCTGATATCACAAACAGTTTAACAGAAATATTAGCATTCCTTGAATTGATTTTTACTACCCTTCCAATAATATCTCTTTGACAAAGAGACACACCTGACTGAAAGTAACACCGTCTCCCTGCTCAGGACCTAAGAAGGGAATAATACTGAAGCATTTTAGAGAAAGTCACTGGTATTCTCTTTCAAGATTTACCTCAGATTTTCTGCTTTCTCACCAAAGCCCCCTTGCCTTCTAAACTGAGATATTGACAGCTCTTATTTTCAGCTGTAATCCAGTCCATTGTTCTCAGGTGGGTACCACAAAGTGGATACAGAGCAATGGTTCACAGAAGAAAGGTGTGGTATAATTGTTTTAGTTGGTTTGTCAGTTTGGGTGTTGGTTAGCCAGTCTCTCATGGTGCTGATCCTATACTGTATGCCTTAAGACACCAAAGATTGATCCAGTTGGAACCCTCCAGGAGCCTTATTACACTCTATTCAGGGATTAACTTGTTTTTCTTGGCAGCTCAGAAAGCATAACAGTGTTTACGTGAAAGCCAGCAAAATTGTTTTATGTAGGTAAACTCAAGATTCACAGATGAAACAGGCAACAGAAGGGGGCCTTACTGGTATGCGATCTGATTTTCAGAGGTGTTGACGATCTTGCAGCCCCTATTGGCTTCAAGGAGGTTTGTGAGCGCTCAGTCCTTCTGAAAATCACGTCATTAGGATTTTCAGACTGGTTTTGAAAGAATATTGTGCTCTTACAAATCATCTTAATTCATCTGATCATCAAATTGCACAGTTGGTGCTAAATGGTACTGAGAGATGTAGGACATCAAGTATAACCTTTTCCTTCACACACACACACACACACACACATACAAAATCAAACAAACAGCTCACTCCTAACTCCAGTCAAAGATGAAGGATGGATTGCCTGCATGCCCAGCTTCTGAAACCATAAATACAAGCCCCATTGGCAGTGGCCAAACAGTCGTTGTAAGAAACTAGCTTGTTATAGCTTTGCAGACCATTAAAGCGTAAAGAAAAGCAAATTCAAAGCTGGGACATCACAAGATTTATTGCAAGTTTCTCCTTGTTTTAAAGCCATGCTTTGGTCTTTCTCTCACAGGGTGTTCTAACAGTATCGAGCTGAGGGAAATAGCTGAACTGAAGCATTGTTTGCTCTTAATAAAGCATATTGGCATTTTTAGGTTGCAGAACTTGGGGAGGAAGGTTAATCTGGAAGTTTTGTGATTTGTGCAAGTTCTGGAACAGAATTTAGCACCCCGCTCCACCCCAGAACTCAAAAATGATTTTACACAATATTTTCTCAACCTGTGGGTGGCTTTGCAATCTGTGGGTAGAGATAATTTAGAGAATGTAGGTATAATAAAATATATATTGTAATAATATTGTACTCTATTGTATATAGAGATATTTCCATACATCATTTATTTCCACCTTAATTTATTTTGATTTTTTTATGACACTATTGGCGTAACAGGTTCTTAACTGAATTGCATGGAGATTGGTGATGTGATAGGGAGTCATTTGCTTCTGCATTGTTGGTTCAAATTCAATCCAGATTAGTGGTGATAAATTGTTACAATGTAATACCTGTGTGTTGGCCTGTGTCACTTAAATTGATGACCTCTGTTAATTTGCGAGGAGACAGTCCTATATGTTAAATAAAAACAAATTAATCTCATTTGGCACCATTGTTTATGATCTGAGAACACAAGGCAATGATTTAGTCAATGTGGAGAACGACAACCCTCCCATCCAAGAGATGATAGCTCCAAGATAGAGTGGAGGCACACTGATGGGTCGATGTGGAGGAACTAGCACTAGTCAATCCAGAAAGCATGCTTCTCTGAGCACTAAATCCATTATAAGCAACAAGTGGGATAAAGATTGGACTTCAGAATATTTTATTCCCACACATTCCAGTTATTTTAGTGTCTTGAAGTATTGCCTATCTGCTCCTTGATGTTCGAATCATTGTGGTCTAAAGTGATTTTGCTGTCCATAGGTCTAGATAATCCAACTTCACATTGGATTGTTACATTGTAACTAGTAAGAAGTTAAGATATGAGCAGAATAATTGCTCTTAAATGCTATATCATTCACATACATAAAAAAAAAAATCCTGATTGGCCTGAAAATGAGTCCAGATACAAAGCTGAAGCTTTTGTTCCTTTCCAAGCCTGACTTTTCTACACAAGAACATTTGACTAATGATAATATTTAGGAGCCAATATTCCATTTAAATCTAAGAAATTTCCAAGAAAAGAACTAACAAAATGATTATTTTAAATGAACTAACAAAATAATTTTATTTTAAAATAGCCCCGTGCATCTGCAGCCTATGTAAGAAAAAAAGTCTGTAATTCCATTCTTGTCCAACAAAAAGTTTTCTATGTATTTCAGCTTCACATACACTTACTACTACAATCAGAAGCTATAAAAGAGTGATTACTTAAATACCTACTTTGCAATTTATGCTTATCTAATAGGTTTGTCAAGTAATTAAAAATTGTGATTAATCACACAATTAACAATAGCAAAATACCATTTATTTAAATATTTTTGGACGTTCTCTACATTTTCAACTATATTGATTTCAATTACAACACAGAATACAAAGTGCAGTGCTTACATTATATTATTTTATTACAAATATGTGTACTGTAAAAAACAAAAGAAAGAGTATTTTTAAATTCACCTAATATAAGTATTGTAGTGCAATCTTTTTATCATGAAAATTAAACATGAAAATGTAGAATTATGTACCAAAAATCATGCATTCAAAAATAAAATAAAATGTGAAACTCTAGAGCCTACAAGTCCAATCAGTCCTACTTCCTGGACAGCCAATTGCACAGGTAAACAATTGTTTACATTTGCAGGACATAATGCTGTCTGCTTCTTGTTTACAATGTCACTGGAAAGTAAGAATGTGCGTTTGCATGGCATTGTTCAATGCTTCAACCACCGTTCCAGAGAACATGTGTCTGTGCTGATGACAGGTTTTGCTCGATGACAGTCCAAAGCAGTGCCAACTGATGCATGTTTATTTTTATCATCAAAGTCAGATGAAAGGCAGAAGGATGATTTTTTTCTTTTGGTGGTTTGGGTTCTATAGTTTCCACATCACAATACTGCTCTTCTAAGACTTCTGAATCATGCTGCACGCTTCATACCTCTCAGATTTTGCACAGCTCTTCAGATCAGGGCCATTCTTAGGCATGCACAGCTGAATTTAGTGATGTCCTATGCTGTGTAAGCCTAGGAATGGGATGTTAAGCAGCTGTGGGCTGTGTCAGCTCAGGTGCCCCCATTTCCTGTCCCCCTTTGTGGAATCTACACCCAACCCCCACTCACCAGAAGATGGTGAATGTGGGCTGGAGGACTCCAGAGGAGAAGGAGAAGGTCACACATTTGGCAAATGTAGGGACACTAGTTTCCCCTTCAAAGTGCTGTTTCTCTCCAACTAGCAGCACGGCCACCGTCTGCTCTTCCATCCCATGCTTATGCCGCCTGCTGCTGCCCATGTCTCCCGCCTGCTTCCCTGAGGCTGAAGGTAAGCTTCTTTTTCTGCCCTGCCCTGCCATACTCCAGGGTTGCAAATGACATCTGGTCCAGGAGAGTTGGCCACCCAGGTGGGAGCGCCAGTGATGGACTATATAGGACACTAGCACTGGTAGGGATAGCTCTGCTTCAGATTCTTAAATTTTGGATCGAGTGCTGTACAAGGTACCCTCTAAACTTTTCCACCCATGTATAGAATAAATTTGTCTATGTGCAATGAGGTATGTGCAGATGTGCACCTCTACTAGAAACAATCTAGCTGGGGGCACTCCCCTAATCTGCTAGGTGGCATTTGAATTTCTTCCGAGTGGCCACCCAAGCACACATTGGTATCCTTGTTGTGTTTTGTCAAATTTGTGGTAAAAGTGTTCTTAAAACGAACAATGTACTAGGCCATCATCCAACATTGCTGTAACATGATGTATATGGCAGTATACAGATAAAACAGAGCAGGAGATGCACTATTCTCCCCCCAAAATGGGGTGTCACCAATTTCATTAATGTATTATATTTTTTAGTAAACATCATCAGCATGGAAGCATGGCATGCCAAAGCACAAAGAGGCACACGACTCTTTAGCGCATCTGACACATCAATATCTAGCGATGTTGGCTGCAACAGTGCTATGCAAATCCTTGTTCTCATTTTCGGGTGAAGCTGTAATTAAGAAATGGGCTGCATTATTTCCAATACATGGAAACAAACTTGTTTCTCTTAATGTTTGACTGAATGAGAAGTATGACTGAATAGATTTGCAGGCTCTAAATTTGTACGTAGTGTTGTTTCTGAATGCAGTTACATAACAAAAACCTACATTTCTAAGTTGCACTTTCATGATAGAGTTTGCATTACGATACAGGTTGAACCTCTCTAGTCCGGCACCCTTGGGACCTGACCAGTGCTGAACCAGAGAATTTTCTGAACCATGGGAGGAGTGTCTAGCAGCAATACCAACACCTCCACTGCTTACTGGGCTCTTATTGTTTTGTGCTATTATTTAGCTCTAATTTACCCCCTAAATGTCTTCTAAGAGCTAGGATAGGTGGCTATGAACAAACCTTATGGGATCGCCAGAAACTTGGCCACACTCATGATAAGTGAACATTTGGTTAATGGGACGAGGAGTCCTGTGGCATCTTATAGACTAACTGAAGTGTAGGAGCTTAAGCTTTCATGGGCAAAGACCCACTTCGTCAGATGTATGTACATGCATCTGACGAAGTGGGTCTTTGCCCATGAAAGCTTAAGCTCCTACACTTCAGTTAGTCTATAAGATGCCACAGGACTCCTCGTCCCATTAACCAAATGTTCACTTATCATGAGTGTGGCCAAGTTTCTGGCGATCCCATAAGGTTTGTTCATAGCCACCTATCCGTTAATGAAAATCATGCCAGACCACAGATGTTGCCGGGCCAGAGAATGCAGGACTAGAGAGTATTCAACCTGTATTTCTTTTGGTTATAATTTTTACAATGCAAATATTTATAATAAAATAATATAAAGTGAGCATTATACAATTTGTAGTATGTGTTGAAATTAAAATTGATAAAGTTGAAAATGTAGAAAAACCTCTAAATATTTAATACATTTCAATTGGCATTCTATTGTTTAACAACACAAATAACTACAATTAATTTTTTAGTTAATCATGTAACTGCTATTAATTGACATCCCTAATATTTATCCATTTTCGCTACATTTGTCATATTCTTTAGTACATATAAAAATATTTATTTTAGAACTCTGATATTGTATGTACTGTTCATTATATTATATGAAATATTCCTCTACAATATTTTGAATTTAGATCACTGAGAGTCAAAATCAGCTGCCATAGCAGCTTTTCTTCACTGTAATAAAATTGTCCTGGTTCAGTTGTTTTATGGTTTCTATATTCATTACATAGATGCTTAGTTTTAGTAAAGCATGAGTGAGATTATAACCTGCAATTTGTCCACGCATTTTATGTTTGTCAAACTGGAACATGAGATAATTTTTTGGAGGGGGTCCTGCATTATTAATTAATCCTTTGTTGCTGACATGTACATAACACTGAACAGAGGTCTACCATGTTAGGTTCCAAAAGCACTTCATGAAGGACTTATTGCCAAGGTAGTCTCATAGGTCCATGCAAGTCACACTATGAGTGCTTGCAAGATCAGATCCTCACTGATCAACATTACAAAGGACCTGTGCATAGGAAGGCAGTACAATACAAACTTTCTTTGATAGATAGGATCACATACCTATACTCAGATTTTCTTATAGTGGTTTATCTCACTACTTACACTGAAATAATGTAACTGCTTTGAAATCAGTTTTACTCTGTTTTGGTCAAAATTATGTCAGTTCATGATCAGTGTGTATGCATCACTTCTTTGCTTAAAACTACACCAATTCAGTTAGTCCTCCCCAGCTATCCCACATCGCATCAGTTTGCATCAGAAGTGAACACTATGCCACGCATTGTTTTTGGAGCTACCAGGACCTGTGAAATAGCTAAGGCCATGTCTACACTATGAGATTACTTCAAATTTACTAAGTTCGACTTTTGGGCACCCGATTTTACAAATTCAGAGTTCTGTATCCTTACTACAGGGAAAAACTGAATGTAGTCTGAGGTAGCGCGCACACATTCATGAAGCCTGCCTCAGACTCAGAGCCATAGGAATCACTCTGGGGAGCTGCGGGAGGCTCCTCTGAGGCCAGTTAGTTCAAATTAGCAGCACTGGAGTGTCTACACTAATGCTATTTTGGACTTACAAGTTCAAAAATGGTGGTGTTCCTCATGAAAATCAGGACTACAGAATCACAGAATACTAGAACTGGAAGGGACCTTCAGAGATCATCAAACCCAGTTCCCTGCCCATCTAGAGTTCTGTTTCCGTGGCCCCTTATTCCAGGCTTGGCCCCTTATAACAGGCTTGGTAGTGTGGACACATCACTTACAAAATCTACCTTGGAGGGCTAATTTCAGACTAAGGTCCTAGTCTAGACCAGGCCTCAGAGATGTTAATCCGATTTTACAGATGGAGAACTGAGGCATGGAAAAATTAAGTGACTGGCTGAAAGCTGAAAGAATTCATATCCCTGACATCCAGTCTTTTGCACTAAAGATACAGCCTGAGTGACTTTTCTATAAGGCGAAGCCTCCTCTCTAAAGTTCTGGTTGAAATAACTAGATTTCACGTTTTCTCTCCCCTCAACCTTCCCAGGAGAATTTGGAGAAGTATGCAGTGGGCGCCTTAAGCTTCCTTCTAAGAAGGAAATTTCAGTGGCAATCAAGACCCTGAAGGTTGGCTACACAGAGAAGCAGAGAAGAGATTTCTTGGGGGAGGCGAGCATCATGGGGCAGTTTGACCATCCGAACATCATTCGTCTAGAGGGAGTTGTCACCAAAAGTAAGAACTTTAGAGTATACACCAACTGTGGGGGGTACTCAACAGTGTTTCTATAAACCATTTTTTAAAGGATTAATTTTAAATCCAGAATTGTTTTATACAGCAGCTTTAGTAGACTATGTTCAAACTATTTCACTCCTTTAAAATTCTAACATGAAAAACATGCACTTTTACTTCATTATTGCATTAAATTACCTCAGAAGCAGGAAACAAATACTCAGATGAACGGCACTAGCTAAGCTTCCATTGAGGTAGCACATGCCAGTGCATCAGCAAAGGGAGGCAGGGAAGGAGAAAGGGAGGGTATTGTGGCTGAATTATAAACAGACAGATTGTATTAACCAATTTAGTACTCCAGAGCTCGTTGCTTTAAAGCAGCCAATAGGCACTTGCTGATTTGGAGTTATGGAGTTTGATTTCCTGGTCTTCTAATTGGACATAGGTAATATGTGTCATTTTCAAGCTAAATCATTAGCTATTATCATTCACATAGACTAAATTAACTGTCTTGTGACATTTGTGCAGTTATTAATAGGAATAGTGCTGAGCATCTAAGATTTTTAAGAGACTTTAAGTGCTTCAATTTTTTGGTGCCCAATTTGAGCCTCTGACTCATTTTCATAGGATAAGTGCTTAATACTTTACAAAAAGGAGGCCCCTCTCAAAGACGTCATTAGTTGGGCACCCCAAGTCAATACAGTGAAAGTTTATAATTTTGTAAGTTTAAAGTTTTGACCCGGAGTTTTAAATCAGAGCATTATTTCATTTGTTGCCAAACAGAAAATTCCAAATCTGTGGCTACAAATAGATTTTTCAGTAACATTTATGATTTATTAAACTCTTTTGTCAGATTGTGCTAATAATTAGATACCAGTTTGGACCCTGACTAAGGAAAGCATCCCTTTTCAAGGAAGCATACAAGTGCTGCTTTTATTAAGCAAGATAAGTAACTGGTAAAATCCTGGGTTGGTGCATTAGTTTTATAACAACAAAAATAACCAGCCTTAGGCCATTCTAATGTTTGTGAAGGGGGTAATGAGAAGGATGGACACCCATGCTCTCATTCCTAAACTTGTCATACAGCCTAGACATAGTATGGGGGAGGGAAAGGCTGGGAAGCACATTTCAGCCATTAAAAAATATTTACAGATGAAAGAACTTCTGAGGAGCTGAGCAGGTTGGCGGGATGCTACTGCACAGGATCACTCTTTTCTGAGCTCTCTACTAGCCCTGCAAAGCTTTTTTTTTTTTTTTTTTTTTTTTAAATCGCTGCCTTCTCACATCATCTTCAGCTGACTTGATCCCTATCCCTTTTCTCCCTCAAATGTGTCACATCTGTTTGTGGTGAGGACACATGGGCTGAAGTCTGTATCCCAACTCCTATTGATATGCGTAAGCTAGAGTTTCTCCCATAATCCCTTCCTCTGGGAGGTGTCTGTCAAAAAGAGTGATAAAAAGGAGGAATGGTGAGATACAGCCACATTTTTTTCCTGTTACTGACTGAACTAAAGGTCAGAACGAAGAGGTATAAAGACAGGAAGATAGGATTGGTTGCTTAGTAATCAGGAACAGGTGTGAGCACTGCCCTGCTGTTCCCTTTCTCCTCAGTTGTACTATACTTTAAAGGCTTGGAGTGCTTTTCCCTGACTTGCCAAAGAACACACGCTTTGGTCCTGCCTTCCTTTGCCCATTCAATATGGATCTCCATAGGTGGCTGCTGAAGGTGTTTAAACCATGCTTTAGACACGTTCCAGAGACCTTCAAACAAGAAATGAAGGGGAAAGAGGAAAGATGGGACAGATAAATATACCAATTTTGGTTTCGTTTTGAGGCTGTTAAAACTAAATACAGCTACTCCAGTGTCACTTTTTGTAACTGTAAATATTATACTAGATTCACCTCATGGAAAAATCCTTTAGGAGTTGATGGGCATAACACCTCAAGGGATTGCTATTAATTACCCTTTAAAACCTATAGATTTTAACAGTAAAGTGTACACCCACTCTGTGATTTAATCTGAAAATGGTACAGAAACATTACCCTTCCCTATTTCATTCCATAGACATCAGTCAATAAAAGGAAGGAGCAACTTTTGTACTGTCAGTGAGTAGCTTTGCTTAGAGCTCGGGGGAGGGGATTCTTCCAATGTAAAATGATAAAATTGGCTGTATACTTGTTTTAGTAAATTTTTCTTTTGTTACCGAAACTGCTTGGGTGATGTTTCTGAAACAAGTAAAGGCAAACTCCAGAAGTTCTCAACTCACTGGAACAAAGGGCTTGTCTACACAAACACATAGTTGGTGGCAAGCTGGAATGCAGATCTTCCCCTCCGTAGCTTGTCGCATGTCTGTGTGGACCAAGCTACAGCACACTCAGCATTCCCTGGAGTCCTTTGCCTTACTCCTGTTTCAGAGCTGGATAGATCAAAGCACACTATGCAACCCTTAGTGCAGAGTAGATTTACACTGCTTCATGCTCAGAACTAGGCCCTTGTGTACTGGTAGCAATGGCTACACTCTTCAGTGGAAAGTAGGCCACATCCACACTGGTATGTGGCTACAAACAGTAGTAGTGAAAGGCTCTGGAAGAGGTGGTAGCGGTAAGTCTCTTGTAATGGAGCATTCTCCCACTGCCTTCCCCTGACAGTCTGAAAATGAAAGTTATCTAGACACGGGGGGCGGGTTTTGGAAAAAAAAATCCTTTTTCAAAAGAATTTAAAAAACTTCCTTTTGAAAAAGGGGTGGGACTTTTTTCAAAAAAACCCTGCATCTAGACTACTTTCATTTTCGAAAGATCCTCTTTCAAAAATGCAATCAGAAGAAGATATATAAATCCCCACAAAATTTGCATATCCTCTTTCAAAAGATCTTTGTAGTTTAGATCTACCCGAAGAGTGCTGCTTGGGTGTTTAAAAGAGCCATGAAGGGCACTGTTCCAAAGGCTATGGAATGCCTTTACTTGCCTAGGCACTGCCTCACCACTAGGCAAGTAAAGGCATTCCAGAATCTACACCACTATTTATGCCCATGATAGGTGGGGCGTGCAGTGTACATATTCTAAATACTGCCATAAGTGTAGCCTTTAACCCATAGGCAATCAAATAACTGAGAAATGGAGTGTCTAAAAATAAACAGTATAAAACTATGTAAAACCATGTAAAATATAATAGCTAATTTTCATAGTAATCTAGAAATGTCATATCTGGTGGGACTGATCTGTCAAACAAGCTTTATCTCCTAAGATGACAAATAATTAAGTCTGAAAAGGCTGTCAGATCTGCCTGTATAAATTCCATGTATCTCATGCTTATGTCTAATAAGCTACTCTATAAAGTTAAATTTTGAATTCCCCAAATTTCTTGAAATACTGAGGATAGTTTTCTGCACATGACAGAGCAGAGAAAATACCTTACAATCAATTGCACTAAAGATTCTCGCGGCATTGCTGAAAATATTTTTTTCTTTGCACACACAATTTTGTGTGTTTCTAACTGTATGTGTGCTGCAGATGCTCACTTTGAACAGCTAACTCTTGCTTTGCTTAAAAAACAACAAATAGTCAAGTAGCACCTTAAAGACTAACAAAATGTGTAGATGGTATCATGAACTCATGATACCATCTATACGTTTTGGTCCTAGTGCTTTAAGGTACTAGTTGGAATTGGTCCTGCCTAGAGCAGGGGGCTGGACTTAATGACCTTCTGAGGTCTCTTCCAGTTCTATGATTCTATGATTGACTATTTGTGGTTTATTGAGTGTTTCCTGTTACAGACTAACTTGGCTACACCTCTGAAGCTTTTGAACATGCAAGCCCTTGCTGTGCTCTTATACAAGTGGGTTTCTGCAAATCCTTTAGTCAGTTAAATTCTTGGTTTATTCACAATAGGCTATTAACTATTTCAGTAGCAGCTATTGAACATCAAAGGTGTGTGATATAGATGGTCACATTTAATCTGAGAAACCAAAATTTAGTCTCCTCTCTCCTTTTAAATCATCAGAGTTCTAGAACAGTGAAATTATAAATTGGGAAACTTCCAGTTCTCCGTGCTTATAAATACCTTAAAAGTATTTTGGAAGACTTATAAAATACTTCACATCCATTCTGGTGGAGTGATTTTTTTTTTTTGATGGGCAAATGAAGTCCGTTTTTTTCATTAATAATCAGTCAACAAGGTGGTAGAACACACACGTGCACATGTGCATGCACAATTCAATTATTCATCCAGAGGCCTTATTTTCTTGATTTATAACTTGTCGTTTAAGATACTTAAAGAAGACGCTGTTTCTGCCTAGATTAGTACATATTGTCCTGGGCAGATACATTTAAATTACAATTTTGTAATACTGACTAATCATTATTTAATAGCAGATATATAGCACTTAACAATGTCGTAGGCACTTTTCGGGCATTGAATGAGCATTTATATACAATCAGTGAAGAGTCCATTTGTGGAGAATTTATGGGATCGTTCCCAATATATATAATAAGATAAACATATATAACATGAGACAATGCGCCCCTTTCTTCATTAACCAAATTACTTTTGATATATGGTCTAGAGCAATGAATTGACTTTTTGTACTGATCATAACCTTTGAAGCAACACCTAGCAATTTACAATGATTACCATAGCTAAAAGTGACTGCTTGAAATCTAGCATGGTGCAACATGCCTTACAATACACTGGAGATGTGCTGAGGTGCATTAGCTAAATAAGATCTTGATTCTTTGTTCCAGCTCTGAACTATTCCCCTGTTTCATATTTGTCTCTGTTCAGAACTTTCCTTCTACTCTGGTCTCAAGGGTGCCCTATAGGCAGTAGTCTTAATAGCCAGCACACATGTTCTCCTTAGTTTACTAATAATTTACAGCAATTTGTAGCCTGTTAGTATAATAAATTTTTGAAACACTGTTGACACAAGTTGTTATCGTGTATAAATGGCTGCCTTTTGATAAATGAATGCAGAATGTTCCTTTGAAAGTACACAGCTTTTCTTTGGCGCATATGTTTCTGATTACATGTACATTTCCAACAGAATGTGGGTGAAAACCTGCACTCAGAACACTCAGCATATGGGAGGACAAATAAGAGAGGGAGATGTTATTTTAATAATTTGAAAGGTTTTCCTTTTTGCCCTAACTAATCTCAGACTTCTGACACATCTTTAAATAGAAATTTGTATGGTAACCAAGTATTTGACAGTGATACAATACTTCAGTTTTGTCAGAGCATGAATTATCCTATAAACTTTGTGGATAGCTCAGTTATGATACTAAACTGCATTTTAGAATTTGTAAGGATAGTTGTTATTGGAAATACTAATAGCAAAGTGTTACTGATAGTTTATGGAAACAGACACTATTTGCTTTTAGCATAAGTAGTCTCTCTTTGTCTTGCTGTACCTTGCCTGAAAACCTGACTGCAAACAATCAATAGAAGGTTGCTGAAGAGGTTGAATTCTTCTCTTTCTTCAACAGGCTGGAAGATCTGCAGAATAATTGAGTAAAAGGTCAAAGTTTCAGGGACACAGATTTTGTCTACCCTTTATTGCAAGAGATATGGGGAGACAAATTATCTCTGTCTTGTTATGCTCAGGGGTGGATTAAAGTTTGTGGGGCCCCCTAGGCTCTGGGATGGGGCTAAAATGAGGGGTTCACAGAGTGTGGGAGGGGGCTGTGGGTTGAGGCAGGAGGGGTGAGGGCTCCCACTAGGGGTGGATGCTTTGGGGGTGGGAGTGGGGATAAGTCATCTGGGGTGCAGAAGGGGGCTCCAGTCTGGAGCTAAGGGGTTTAGAATGTGGGAACAGGCTCATTGAAGGAAACTGGGGTAGAGGTGCAAGATCTGGGTGGGAGTTAGAGTGCTGGAGCAGGCTCAGGGTTGGCATGTTGGGTCCAGACCTCTGTGAGGGAGTTATTGCCTTAGGGTGCAGGAAGAGGCTAAAGGCGGAGGCAGGGGGTGAAAGTACAGGTTCTGAGCAGGAGCTAGGGTGCTGGAGGGGGCTCAGGTTAGGGCAAAGTGTTGGTGTGCAGGGCCCTTACCTTTGGCAGCCCCCCTTTTGTGTGGCTGAAGCAGGTGGCTCATTGTGGTCCATGGGGCCCTGCAGTCACTGCCCCTCACGGTTCCCATTGTCTGTAACTCCCCACCAAATAGAGCGGTGGTGGCAGAGCCTGCAAGCAAGGGCAGTGTGGGGATGGAACTGCCCTTGGTGCTCGCAGCAACATGGTTCCAGGCCAGTTGGGATGCAGGGAGGAAAGGCAGCGCAACTGCCTACCCAAACAGGCAGGGCTGGAATGCTAGTGGTGCTTTGCAAATAAATCTGGCCTTTCAGCATCCTGGAGATCTTTCCGTGGGGCCTCCCTCTAGCTGAGGGTCCTGGGCTTCAGCCCCTAAAGCCCCTTTCTTGATCTGGCTCTAGTTGCACCATTGTCATATGATTGCCATTATGCATGCAATGTATTCTGGACAGGGAGCACAGGTCATAGAGGGGTACAAAGCCCCCAAGTTATAATGCCTACAAACCTCTGTGATGGCTCTGGAGGACCCAGATTATTGTTGAACTGACCCCAAATGAAATATTTTGATTTGGTTTCAATTTGATTATTCCCACCAAACATTTTAAAACAATTTCTACAAAATCTAATTTTGTGGAAAAGCCAATTGGGTTTTCTGGGGGGGGGGGACAAAACAATTCAGTGAAAAGTTTTTTGCTACTTTCTCTTTGTGATTCTCATGCACTTAACTGTGGTAGATAACAATTTGAGGGTTGAGCCATTGCCTTCCTTGAGGACTTACCCACATTGTGAGGTTTCTAAACATTCATTGGGTTTAGAGACCCTGCTGATGCACCTTCAAGTTTCCCTAGTGCACTTGAACTTAGTGTTCTTTCAACTAGCACTGCATTAAAAGTTCTTTACTAGGGTTTAAGGTGCACAAGCAGACTCTACAAGGACTTGCTACTACACAAATGCTAGTGCACATTAGTCCCAAAGAGAAACAAGCCCTTGGAAGCTGCTCTATGGTTGGGAATACAATGCAAGCTGTTGTCATGCTTTTAAACATCCATGTCTTCTTTCAGGACTTAACAGTACACCTCCCTAAATACCTACATTGCCCAATTTCATTTTTTCCACAGGAAGAAAAGCAGATAAATCGAACTTTGGAAAACATTATTAAACAATGACATTCATAGACTGATATGAGGAAGGGATGGATGGACTTTTGGTTGGGGCATTAGCCTAGAACATAGGAGACACAGCTTTGATTTGCTTCCAGCATGATCTTAGACAACTCGCTTGCTCTTGCTATACCTCTGCCCCCTATAGTTGGGCGCAGCAACATCAGCGTTGCTGAGTCTCATGATTTTTGTCACAACTCTTGTGATAATTCAAGTTTTTCCTTTAAACCTCAGCTTCTGCAGTCAGTGGATTCGATGAGAGTCTCAGCTTTCATGGTGTTTAAAAAAGGTTCTACTGCAGTTCCACCAGAGAGAATTTGAAAGAGTGACCAGTGTGCGCTGTAATGGTTCAGAAGCCAGAAGGCAACTAGAAATAATCTATTTTTTAAAAATGCACCCAGCATTTTGGGAGACCTGACTCGTGATTTTTAGAATGTCTGGGCTTAGTAAAAACATCGCCTTGCTTTTGTTTGGTTTTTAATACAAAGGAACTTGGTGTCTGCTCATAACGCTGGTTAGCTTAGGCCACAGGTGAGCAAGGTGCTTATGCACATGTCTATCCTGAGCACAAAATAATCTCATTGAAGCTAATGGGGAATACTTTCAAACTTTGAATTAGTCATATGCTTACTTACCTTGCTAAACGCTTACCCTAGTGCTGTATTTATGGTAATTGTTACTTATCTCATGTGTCACGCTCCTTAGATTCAAACTGTATCACCATGTATAAAGGGTAACAGTGTTAAAGATATCATTTAACAATGGTTTTGTGAGTAGAACAAGGAATACTTTGCACATGTTGTCAGTGGCTTATTTTACAAGTTCAGAACTTGTACACAAAGTGCATTGTCTAGATAAATTATGTGCCACTGTGGTACAGTTATTAATAATTAAAGCTCTTTAATGTATTATAGTCTAATCTATGCATTGATTGTTGCATCGTTTGCTCTATAAAAAATACTCTAAGGAACAGGGGAAAGGGTGATTTTCCCCTAGGAAACTACGTGGGTTGCTAAATGGATTAGTTAGTGGCTTTTCAGGTTCCCAGCTCATAATTCAGACTAGAGTTGAGCACAGAGACTCAAAATGTTATCCCCTGGAAGCAGTCAGCAGCATGAGTGTGGGGTTTTTCTTTCTTTTTTTTTTTTTTTTTTTTTTTTTTTTTTTTTTGCAGAGTACCTTGCTATAATACAAAGTAAAATATAGGGCCAGATTTTCAGTCACATGCAAGCCCACTTCAAAGCCAAGGGAGAGAAAACAGGGACCTGGTTGCGGTGCCCTGATCCTAAGCTACCCAGGCCTGGTGCAAATTAGACTTACAGGGGAACAACTATAATTTATATCAGTGGCAGATGGATCAAAGTAGAGCTCCACTGGGGCCTTCACACCCTGCCTTGCCCCATTTCCTCCTCTTACTGTGGGGTGAGGGGTAGAAAGGGAGTTGGTGCAGAAACCTGTGCATTGGCTGAGAGTTTCCATGCACAGGGAGGATTCTCTATGACCCTTCTCCTGTCACTTTATGACTTTGCTGATCAGAGACTCCACCCTGTAGTGTATAGGGGGAAAGATATAGCTAGTGTGTTATCAAAGAGAAAACAGAACAAAATATTAGTGGTGCCCCCATTCAGGAGCATCCCTCTTGTGTGCTTCAATATCTGTTCCTTTTTACCACTCAGTACCATGTGAGCACCTATTATGGGTTCACAATCAGTGGGTGTGACTACAGTGTAGTGATAATGCAAGACAGAAATACAAGTGCTTACATCTTCTTTTTTTGCACATGTTAAAATCAAATGGGCCTAGACTGAGCCCTGGTAAAGGTGGTGGATTTCGAATGTTTCCAATGGAGTTTCATTTACTGTTTACCAGAGTTGCAAATGTCTCATGAACCTTCCTCTCTTTGTGTTTCTTTTTTTCTTCTTCTTCTTCTTCATTTATATTTTTAAAAGTAATTAGTATTTAGAGGCAGAGGAATTTGGAAGCCAGTTTCTTAAATATACATAAACCATTTTCATTTATTATGAATTTTGTATTTCTCTTTAAATGCTTACGTGGTGCTTTTAATGTGTTTTCAGGTAAACCAGTTATGATTGTTACAGAGTATATGGAGAATGGTTCTTTGGACAGCTTCCTCCGAGTAAGTACAAAGTTGATGACCCAGTGTGGATCTTCTCCTGTCATCAGATTTGTCCTGGCTGTTGGGTTATTCTTAAATCACCATGAACTCTTGTCCCATGTTTTATCTTCCATTGTTTCTTTCATTTTAGAGTGTGTTGTCATTGAAATCTAGCATTCTGTGTGAACCCTTTGCAATCAGATTTGTTTGGGGATTAATTGAAAAAAAGCAGAAATGTTATTTAGTACATTCCAGCTGTGGGAAAAGAATGATTTACTAGCAATTACAACTGTAAACTGTTTTTATGAGGACTAAATTAATAGCTTTAATGCACTGATGCTTGCTGATATTGGTAGGTAGCCTATACATCATACCAAGCATTATCCAAATAATGGTAAACTAATATGCTGAGCCAAGAATTTAAATGCAAGATGTTTAAAGAATAACCTCTCACCATGAGGTGTAGAAATTTTATGTTGCCAAGCTCTATTAGCACATCCTCTTTCCACACTCTTGCAATGTTTTGCTTACTTTATTCTCCTTCCCTTTTAAAGCTGGTAATGGGCCTAACAAAACCTGAACCCTCCCCATGTTACCAAGATTTACACGAGGCAAAACAATTAGTGTGCCAGAAGTAAACTCCCGCCTGGGGAGAAGCACCAGTTTTATTTTCATTTGCTAGGGTGACCTCAGTTCTGGCTACAAACCTTGCTTTGGTTCTGTCATGCTTGAATGATACTATCCCTCAAATTCATACACTGAAATAGACATTATACCCCAAAAGGAGATATATTATCAGCTCTTGTTTCTGTATATACTATATATGTTATGGTGTCTGCTGAATCATATAAAATGCATATAAATATTGTCTTAACAATCTTCTCCTGAATTATATACTTTTGATAAGGATAAACATCCTTGAAAATTCTTTGGTCACAGGAGTTTTATCTCTGATTCAGTCATTCAAGGCTACAAGACCAATGACTGCTCTGATATACACATACACGCTGAGTCAAGTATTTGTTACATATAATACAGTGATTTTACTCTGGTGTTCTATAATAAATTTATCACTGAACAGATCACATTTTCTTTATTAATTTGGTCAGTGTTCCACAGTATCCCCGAAAAAACCTAATCCACAGCCCATTGAAATTGATAGCAGAAATCCCACTCATTTTCAGCAGGTTTTAGATCTTTCCCTGAATGAGAGGCAAAGTTCTGTCAGAAACCATAATATGCAGTCTGGTGATGAAAGACGGCATAACAATACATATCCAGAAGGTAACAAAGTTAAAACTGCAAAGGAAAGAAGATAGTAGTGCTGTTCCTATGTACTAGCTAAATGAGGGGTGTGCTCAATTCCTTAATCCCTTGAATCACTGTGAACTGGCCAGGACCAGTTTTGAAACATTTCAGGAAAGCACAGGTACTTGCATTCCCCACCTAAATACCTCTTTAGCCTAATATTTTCACAAAAAATATTAACCATGCCTAGTGCCATAAATTGGTATCCATTATTTCTCTTTTTTCAGATGCAGACTTCATAATGATGATCACTTTATATGTATTACAATGTCATATCATTTCCCTTGTGTCCCTTTGTACCACACATCAGATTTAAACTTTTCTTTGCTTTCGGGGCCCAGCATCATCCAATTGCAGCCGCTGTATTCTTATCCATGTTGTCTGCTCCACCAGCAAAGCTTGCCTTTTTAACTTCCGTGTCTCTTCTTTCACGTGCATTTCACTGTCTTCCTCCATGCTGTCCCTTTATGCCAAACAGTTTAGCAACATCACATCTTCATCCCATTTCAGTCCCTCCCAAAAACGTCTTCCCTACAACATTTAAATTAAAAAAAAAGCTCAAATTGCTCATACAGATTCCCACATAAAAACAGGGAACCAGTAGATTCGTATTTCTAATAATACTTGTCTTTGTTCCCATCTCTGGGGTATTTTATATTTGCCTGAGGGGTCCATGATTCATAATGTGAGCTCTTCAGAGCAGAGACCTGTCTTTGTGTTCCCTGTGCATTGGCTAACAACCTATGGGGTACTATAAAAAATAAATAATGGAGCCTGCCTACTGTTCAGACCCTGATCTGGCCAATTACATCATGTCTTAGCTCATTTCTTAATGTAATTTAACCAATTCATTGGTGGACTGTGTTTCAGCAATTGTTTATTGATTTCTGTTTGTTAATTTATGCAACAAAATTTGTATTTTTCACTTATGAAGTCATTAAAGTTAAGACAAGTTTCATAATTTGCAAACTGTGCAATTGTGTACTTTCCAGTCACTCAGAATCTCACTCTGAAAGTGAATGCCATGGGGCTTTTCAAACATTTGACTGCCACTTCAATGCCAAGTCTACCATATGTTCAGCTAATTGTTTTCATGGCCAATATAGTCCCATGAGAACAGTGCTCCAAAGTAAAACGTATGAGCCCTGTCTTTCAGTCAGATTCCTGACGCTTTATCCTTGTGGGAGTGAAGAGACACATTTCTGTAGTAAGCATGCACATGGGGGTACAGGAGCTACACACACTGATATGCCTGCAGGAGTGGGGAGTCAATGTGTTTGACAGCTGATCATGGAGTACACTTTATTTTTGGTCATAAGTCGATTCACATAGCAACATGTAAGGAATATTTCTAACAAGCAAAACATATTTGCAAGAGCTTGCAAGATGAGAACTTTTGCCTGTTTTGGTAGCCAAATGATGACTGCATGAATACATTGGTTCTCAATCTAAAAATGGTGACATAGTGATTTTCATTCTGGAGCTGAGGAAGATTTTGGAGAACAGATTTCAATTTGGATGATATTTAGCAATTCCTGAGTCACATAAGCATCTGCAGTTTTTAAAATTGCTTCTCTATTCATAGAACTTACTTTATTGCACTCACTTAGACAGGGGTTTTCCAAAGTACCTAACAGATGTAACAGCAGGAGTTCAGTGATTAATTCCTGTAGGCTTCCTTGAAATTCCTAGCCTTGGTGGAGGCATACAGTGTGGATTTTTCCTACATTTGCACCTATCTTATATAAGGGCAATTTAAAATTCAAGTGGCAGTAAAAACAGGCTCTGCTAAATTTTATCTGAAATTAAAGCCTGTCCTATGTTTGCTTCCAGTTAATTCTGAGATTGTACTGCTTTAGTTTCAGTATTTTCTTGACTGGTTTTTATTTTGGGTCTCTATCTTGCAAGCCCTCCCCATGCACAACTCCTATTGACTTCAATGGAAAATCTGTGCATGGCAAACATGTACAGTCAGTCTCTTAATCATGGGTTCCTGGTGTTTTTCAGAAACATGATGCTCAGTTCACAGTCATCCAGCTTGTGGGCATGCTTCGAGGGATAGCATCTGGCATGAAGTACTTGTCAGATATGGGTTACGTCCATCGTGACCTAGCTGCACGTAACATTCTCATCAATAGTAATCTGGTGTGCAAAGTCTCGGATTTTGGCCTCTCTCGTGTATTGGAGGATGACCCAGAAGCTGCTTACACAACTAGAGTGAGTTCATATGTTTATGCCTATCTTAATTGTAATATAAAACTGAAGTATTGAAAGTGCAACCTGAGACCACATGTGACCTCAAGACTCCTGAACAGGGGTACATGGATCATTCTGTCCTGTAAAGCATGGGAAAATCTGATCAATAGCCGGTTAAACGTGCTGGTGAGCTCACTGCAGCCAATTCCTATATGTTTGTCAAGGAAGGAGCAAGTATAAAATTGTAACTCTACATTTATAGTTGGTGGGAAATCGTGTGAGTGTGTCTATGCTACACACTCACTTATGGTGGTATGTAGTGTACCCCTAGCATGGGTGCAAACACCCCTAGCATGGGTACAAGCTTTAAGGCACTATTTAAGTTGAGTAAAGACATGCCGGATTCTTAGGGTGTGTGTCTTCTATGGCTTTCTCTTCCCACCCAAGCAGTGGCCCCCCTGGATAGGCTGGCGTTGTCAGATATGTAATATTATGTACTCTAGACAAATGACTACATTAGACCAGTCTTTTAGTGCATATGTAGACACATCCCCAATGCACATGACATTTAATTGAGGAATGCAGTCCAATTAGCTGTTAGTCTCTCTGAAGTCAGAATTCTGACTCCTGTCTTGTGCTGTGTGGATGCTTTGCAGAGTGAGATCATAGGTCTCAGTCTTTGCTCATTCCCACCTCCCCTAGGCATCTAAAGAGTCACCTCCATGCAAGAGGACACTACCTAATGGGTTTAGTTATCATGTCCATTAAAGCAAAAGGAGAATCACATTCTACTAATTAAGGAAATTGGTCAGGTCTCCAACAGCCACCATAGAACCATGCTATTCTGGATCAGTCAGATGGCTCTTGGACTGTCCTCATGTCCAATACAATACTGATTCGCTTGTAACATGACCCTGTACGGTATGAGTCTGGATTTTGCCATCCCATTTTTGGCTGCCAAATTCTTCTAATTTGTTTAAATCCATTTCTCTTGATTCCTTTCTTCCTAGTCAAGTGTCCATGACAATCACTTCCTAACTGATTATAAATCAAAATATTAGATTGGGTTATGTAGGCCTGGAAGCAGCTGCTGTGTGTTGAATAGCAGACATACTCAAAATAAATCGAAGGTTGTGTTTAGATTTGGCAGATTTATGCTTCACGGGTCAGATATTGTAAGAATCATTCATCTCAGTCGACTAAAAACAAAATCTTCGATTACTACAAGCACTTTTGCTCCAGCACACAACAGCAAATATCGGATCTAGATGCCCAAACTGCAGATTTGCTAAAACACAGTTCTGCGGCATTTGCAACTATTGCTGGCTTCTTTCTTGAATTGAAGTGGAAGTTCTTTTTTCACTTTGAAAGTATACCACATTTTTACTTTTTTGTGATGCTCTTAACTGACTTTCCTTTGCAAATATCTATTGTACTTAGCATAGACTTACTCAGGAGTTGTTTTTGGGGGGAGAAAGTGGACCAAGTGGATTATATTAGCATGTGGAAGAGTTATCGTTTGCGACATTTTTGGAGGATGTTATATTTTGGACATTGATCTTAATCTGTATGTCTTGTGAATTAATGAATATTTGCACAGGTTCCTTGAACTTCAAGTTTGTGTATTTTTCAAAACATCTAAGAAATAAATGTAAAGTGTAGTTGAAAGTGTGGTGGGCTAAGCAGAGAGTAAAAATAGAATAAATAGCATCAAATAATACACATGTTTTAGGCAATCAGATTTAGGTGAATTGCAAAGACAGTGTGCTATGGTGTTGTAATATTATATATTCAATTCACTGGTTATAGTAGCACATAGCCATTTGAATTAGCTGAACTAGTGCTTTTCATTTTTGCTTCATATGATCATATAGAGCGTATTAATAAGCCTGTGGCTTTGTTTGAGGCTAGGCCCATGATTAGGAACGGGTGGAGAGCTTCTGCATTATGTTACTACCAGGAGATCCGGTGGGTTACCCTCAGAATTTTTTTAAATTTCCATCAGCATGGCAATGTCAAACTCACATTGACATAGCTGGAAACTAAGCACCCCTGGTCTTAAAATGTTGCCAGATACGAAAATGATGACATACTCCCACACACGTGTGACTGCTCATGTGATTCTGACACTGCCTGTAATGGCACTATGCTATGTCCCTTCATAAGTCCCCACAATAGCACTTTTTTTTTCTTGATTACTTTGTTTTATGCACTGCTGTCAGTGTTTTAAGGTGTGGTGCACCCATTTTCCAATCCCGGGGTTCAACTTTACATTTTTACTTAAAAATCAAAGAAAGAGGAGGATGCCACGGCAGAGAGAGAGAGAGTCTAGCTTGTTGTTTATTCCTGGTTACATTTAAAAAGAGACTGTGCTAGAAGTGTACATAATGGTACTTTGTCTTCAGAAAAATAAATGACAAAAGAGGGCACCAATAGGTAAGAATACACAGACATGTAACTACTTATTCACTTGATTACAACTTTTTTTCCTTTTCCTTTTCCTTTTCCTTTTCCTTTTGAATCCATTGGTTGGTGTCTGTGGACATGATATTACAGTGCACATTTCTGTAGGCATCATTAGTATCTTCATTCATAAATTTGGTTTTACATGTTTCAATTTGCCCAGTTGCCTTTAATTAGAAAAACAAACAAACAATCACACAAACAATAGCCCAACAGTATTAGCTAGGATTTTGCCTGTGTTCATGGAAGGGAATGTAAGAAGCCCCAACTTTATGTTACATAAGATGCTCCGTAAGGTACACATCTGCATATTATCAGGGCTCTACTCATATCTGTTTTATATTCAACAGGTATCCGCATGCACGGATGCAGATGTGAATGCAGATATCCCTACCTCATTTTTGCAAATACAGATGTATATGCAGATACAAAGTTTTGTATCTCTGCAGAGCTCTATTCATGAGCATGTAGTATATGTGGTGTTCCATCATGAGTCTGTGCAGTGTGCCAATGCAGCACAAGACTATGAAGGGACCTGAGCAGACCACAGGGAATCAATCTGTGTCCTTCCTACATTTGTCACTTTTATAACCACATTAATTGTAATCCTAAAAAATTAAATGGTGATAAGGGCTCTCAGAATAATTGTGTGTGTTGGCAAATGCTCTTTTATATTTCATAGCCTAATAGAAAATGTGTGGTTATCCATGAGTTATATGACATCTTTGCTGTGGGTAGATCATAAAAATTAACCTGTTGTGTTCTGTGGGTGTTCAAGTAATCTTCAACTCTGATAAATATTTCTTTAAAAGAGAGAGAGAGAGAGAGATGTATTCTTTCTACCTGAGTGATTACTAAGTGCTCTCTTTCAGTTTACTGACTTTTAGAGTAGTTTGTATATTTTGTCAAAAAATGGATGAGTGCATAAATATTCAAAATTCAGTTTACTATAATGAATGGTACTGTTTTATTTGTTGTTTAAAATATATAGAAATATGTGAAAATGTTGCATCAATTTTAAGAAAAAAATCTTTAGCTTTTGGTGCTGAAATGTTAACATGTTTAAAATTTCTTTGCTTTTCATTGTTGTTACAGCTAAATTATTCATAATGAGCTATTTTTATAATTTCAGAAAGGACAGTGTTGCTGGATTTTGTATGGCTGGATATAGGACAAAATGTCAAAATTATAGTCCTATAAGCAGAACCCATTCAATGTCAGTGGATGCTTTTAGCTAAAATAGCTAAAGTGCCTTGTTAAAAGTTTTGGATTCACTTTTATTTAAGAAAGCCTCATTCCTTCTCTTAGCAGAAGTATTTTCCAGGACCACTGCATAAACTCAATTTCAATTCTGAATGCTTGGGTTCTGTAATTTAATTTTCTGACGATTTTAAAGTTGCATATGAGAGATCCAGTTTAATTTTAAAATATTCCTCTTGAAAAAAAAATTCAATATTTTCTGTGGAATTTAGATATAAAAGGTGGCTCAGTTGCCACAAAATATTTAATTTTAAGTGTTTTATCCTAGCTTCCCAATTTTATTTTCTATTGTTTCCCATTTTAAATACATTTGTTAAGTTTTAGACTTCCTCTTTTGCATGAATTTGTAGTTCTGCATTGAAAGGTAACAAATGTGATGTTGCTTTTGATATGAAATTAATGCCAGAACTCTCTGACGTATACTGTGCTGAGTGAGTAATAGCTTCCATACAACATGCAGTTGAAGTATCCCACATGGCAGTCCTACTCTGATATGGTTATGACCTGGCTTATCATGAACATTTATGTTAGAGAAATGAAAAATGGTATACTGTATACCTTGCTTTTAAGTTATGTAGATTTATTATGTTCCTTATATGCTTGGACCTCTATTAACCTATTGAGTATTTCAGAAGGGGAGCAGAAGAGTTGTATATTTCTCCGAGTTAACTCTATATCCTAAGATCTAAGAATGAAGGGGTGGGGCGAGGCAGGGCTCAGCCTAGCTCCCCCAGGCAGCCCTTCATCACTACCAAGTGTACCGCATGAGGCTCCAGCAATGATTTAAAGGACCCAGGGGTCTGGCCACTGCCATGGCAAGAGTGGCTGGGAGCCCTGGGCACTTTTGAATCATTAGGCCCCAGGGCAGTTTCCCTCTTCACCCCCCGCCTCCCATCGGTCAGCATGTCCTTCCCCTTCATGACGTTCTTAGCTTCTAATCACAGACTAATTTTAGTTTTTACCTCTTTAACATCTGGTGATTTCTGCCAGACCCAATCAGAATTATCTTGATTCTGTACTTGCACTAAAGGTAGTATATGTTATACCTTGCTATTGTTTCCATGCTATTTGAATGCCCACTTTTTTATCTCCATTTTAACATAACCAAGTCTCTTCTTTTTCTAAACTTTTTCAGAAGTTGAAACCATTTGGGCTGGAAAGCGTTTAGGGCTGTATAGGAGTCAGATCCAAATTTGCATTTATTCCCATACACTGTAGCATTAGAAAATGGCACAAAATTGGTATTTTGCAACCATTTTAATTTCATTTTGTACTTTTCTCTTAATTAAAAATGGCCATGCCCAGAAGGTAAGCTCCTAAATTAGGTCTGGGAATTCAGACTTCTGGTGAATGAGATCCTGAAGGCTCTCCACTGACATTATCTTATGAGGAAGAAATAAGTCCCAACCTGACTATAAGAAAAATAACATGCTTATTTTCCACACACAAACAGCAGGTGTGAACCAGGCATACTCGGTATTTGAAGGCAATTGATGTTTGAGCTGTGTTCAAAGGTGAAAGTAAACCAGTGCACTCTAGTGCAGTGTCCCAATAAGAAAGTAGGAGTGGGCTCTGAGCCAGATGCCTTAACCCTTCTCTTCCCTTCCTACTCCCTGCCAAAAGTTGAGGCCAGGAGCAAAGTCCCAACATGGAGCTGGCAGCTGGAAATGCAGTCACTGGGCCAGGATCTCTGCACCCTGACCACCCAAAGCTTCCTTTCCATGCCTATGAGTGCTCCCCCATAGTTCCCATTTCGACAGGGGCAGTGCAGGGTGAGATCACTAACCAGTACCTCCCCAGCCCTGAGCATTCCACCCTACATACACCCACTCAAGCCCCTGCTCTGACTCCTCCACACCAACCCCCTGCCTTGAGCCCTCTGCACCCATACCCCCTCTAACCCCCTGCCCTGTGAGTCCTCTGGATTCCACCCTACACTGAGGGTCAGGGGTGATGATATGTCAGTATCTGTAAGACATGTAAGTTACTTTCATCCCTGGCTGCACTGCTTATTTGTGTTGATGGGCAAAAAGCAGAGCGGGCTATACTGATTTCTTTTGGATCCGGCAGCAGTGTTTAGTACAACAATTTGGTATATACATGTCTGTAAACCTGGTAAGTTAGCTGGAATCACACTTTAGTATTCAAGTCATTTTTTTCTTGGAGAAGACGCGGAGGGTAGTAATGGGTAGTTGCTCATCTGCTGAAGAGCTTTGTCACATAATGTACTGCAAGTTTATGTTCTGCCTTCCCTCTATTCACTGCGCAGACTAAACCAGTAGGGACAGTGCGAGCTAATGTGAGTTAATCTGGGCTGCAGAGCTATTAATGTACTGGCGATTCTTACCTCCGTGTCTGAATTTCTCTCAGATCGGATGGTGCAGTCACTTGGGTTTTGTGGTGATAAAGGTAGGTCGGGAAACACCAGAAGTGATATTTGACTCCTCGATTGAGGGAGTTTGCTCACTGGTTTTTTTAGACAGATTCACAGTGTAGGATAAGGTGCTGTTTTAGAAAGCAGGATAGTGTTTTCTTTTCCATCTTGGTTTGGCTAGGAAGTTGCAACCTTCCCTATCAAATCAAACCTCAACCTATGTCGGCTCCTGTCTAGATAACTGCAATGTGGCCTACCTTTCAGGTTCTCTTAGAAAATTCACTTAGAGCAGAATTCTGCTGTTGACATACGCATCTGTGCTTCACACTGACAGCACATTACATCTGTGTTCCAGAGACTGCAATCGGTACGCATTCATTTCCAGATGTAGTTCAAAGGTTGGGTTTGATCTATAAAAGTCCTTTGTAGTTTAGGTCCCAGGTAGCATAAAGGTAATTTTACCCTGACAGTTGAGAGCAGCTGGGACATGTAAGAAGATAGCCCCTAGCAATGAGCTTCTGAGGACTGGGCTGTCTCAGTGTAAGGCCCTTGCTTCTCAGATCACTTTCCCCTCTACTGCCAGAGCCAAGTGTCATGTTGCAAGGATTATTGTTTACTCAGGCTGTCTGGTTGCAAATTAGATGAGCAGGAGAGTTTCAAGAAGGAGACTTTTCGGATGTATGTGTGTGTATTTTGTACCTTTAGATTACATGCAGCAGTTCTCAAACTGTGGGTCTGGACTCCAGTCCAAAGTGAGTTGCTATCTCATTTTAATGGGGTTGCCAGGGTGTCAGAGGTGCCCAGGGCTGAAGCTGAAGCCTAAAGGCTTCAGATCTGGGTAGCAGAGCTTAGATTATAGGCTTCTTCTCTCCCCCCTTCTGCTTCGGGCTGAAGGCTTTGGGCTTTGGCTTTGCCTTGCCCTGCCCTGGGTGGTAGGGCTCAGGCATGGAGGCTCAGGCTTTGGTCCTCCTTTCTGGTGCCATTTAGTAATTTTTATTGTCAGAAAGGCATCACTATGCAATAAAGTTTGAGGACCCCTGGATTACAGCTCTTCTGTTCGGATTTAATTTTTATTGGGTGACCCAAGAGAGACTGTCATAGACAAACTGGATACTTAGAAAAAATAAATACTAAGAAATCCAAGAAACAGCAGGTTGAAGCAGTAGTTTTGACAGTTAAGGCCCTGAGATTCAAGGAGAGCTGGTTTTAATCCTCAGGTCTGCCCCAGGCTTGCTGGTCTTGAGCATCTGTGAAAAGAGGACAGAATTATTTCTCTTCCTCAGAAACTTATGAAGGTTTGTGTGACTCTCTAATGCCACAGCAACGAGGACTGTAATACAAACACACAACATTTTACTCAGTGTGCGTAGGGGTTGTTACATTTTGGGTATTGAGTCTGAAAGAGGAAGACTGTCATTCTGGCTTTGGAACATAAGATTAAATCTGTGTTCTGGGAAGGAGTGGTTTCAAACACTGCTCTCTACTTTTTTTTTTTTTTTTTTTTTTTTTTAAGGTGAGGAAATTACAGCAAACCCACACAATTTTGAAGGATTCATGTGATGTGAAGGTTGGTCTAATGGTTAGGGCACAAGCATAGGACTCAGAAGAGCCATGTCCACCACAGACTTCCTGCATGTCCTTGGGGAGATCACATGGTCTCTCTGTACCTCAGTTCCTCACTGTGAAATGGTGATAATAGCACTGCACTACCTCATAGGGCATTGGGAGATGAATGTATAACAAATTGCGAAGTGCTCGTGTTATACAGTAATGGAAGTTCCTAAATAGACACCATTTGCTGGACCATTCACCAGAGCTACATGTACTGTATATCCCTGGTGTTGGAAGCTGCTTGAACCTGTCATTGCATTCTGCATTCAATTATATTCATTTCTGAATTATTTGATGCCAAAGTTTTGTTTTACTGTGTAATATGGGCTTGTTTTCTCATGCGTGACCCCAAATCATAGACTTACAGATTTCTGCAAAAGCTGGCGCCTTTGGAAAGTGACTCAGTCTCTTCTGACTAGTTCTCGTGTTGCAGAAACGCAGCCTGAGGCTCCTTGCATGCATTTTGTTAATTTGGTTTATGGCACGAAACAGTGGGCTCAATCAGGGAGAGATGTTCCTCTTAACAGCAGGTCTGATTTTAACAGTAGCATTTCTTCTCTTCCAAGTTTAAATCATTTAATGATGGCTCTACTCATGACAGTAAAAATGTCTCAGGACAGATTCTTACCAGTACAAATGGGCGAAACAGAGTAGCTGTCTCCTGACTCTGAGAGTGGTTGTATGTTAGCCCGAACCCCAGCATTAGTTATGCCCATGATGGGAATGAGGGGGGAGGGGATCGGAGGCAGTTGCCTTGGCGCCCAGAGCGCCAGGCCTTTTAAATCGCTGCCAGTGTACCACACAGCATGCTCTGAGCTGCAATGAGGACTGTTGCAGTGGGGTAGAGGAGCAGCACAACACAGTCTTGGCAGCACAGAGGACTGGCTGCCTCCAGCCCTTCCACCCAGTGCCCCAATCCCTACTTTACCCAGTGGCCCAGCAAATCTGTTGGCCTCCCTGAGTTAGTCTAATTATGTCCCTTCATGTGATCCACAAGATTTTACCCAACCAGAAGACTGTCATTAGTGAAGGAGACCTGCCCCCTGCTCCCCAAAACATGAGAGTGCAACAGGGAATTTAGGAGTCAGTTTTACACCCACAGGGTGTACACTGACTGATCGCTTCTCCACTTGAATTCTGTGAGACTGGCTTATCAATTTTTTTACGTGTAAATAAATAAATTGATGATTTGATTTATATAAAAAACATACACACATGAAGCTCAGAAGAGTTTAGAGATACCATATAATGCATTGTGTGTTACGTAATCCAATGTGTATAATAAATGTCCTGTTTCCATAAGATTAATATGGCTAGGTAACAAAGCCTATGCAAGATGCACATGTGTTACAATAATTAAAGGACTGTTCTGCATTCAGGGGGGGAAGATTCCAATCCGATGGACATCGCCAGAAGCCATTGCATATCGCAAGTTCACCTCAGCCAGTGATGCGTGGAGCTATGGGATTGTCCTCTGGGAGGTGATGTCCTATGGAGAGAGACCCTACTGGGAGATGTCCAATCAGGACGTGAGTATATTGTAGTCTTGAGTTATGTTTTCAAATAAAGAATCAAGCTGTGAGAGGAAGTGAAGCATAGTGAAGCCAGGTGGCCCCTAGTTTTTGCCAGTGACATTGAGTAAGATGTAAAAAGGAAAGCTTCCAAGTCTCTATGTTTGTAGAAAAGACCTGTAGAATTTAAATGAAAATGATAAGCTCTTTAAAAGGTTTTTGGATCACTGTGTACATGGTAACAGAGAATTATGTTCATGCTATAATATTCTAAAAGATGATGCTCAACACTTAAATAAGAAGATATTCTCTTCTACACTCCTAGGCTTTTTAGAGCCACTTTAATTTTAGAACCATGCTAAATTTCTGCAGATCACTTTTTTCCCATCTTTGCAACAGTCTATATATTTTTTCAATAAAACTTGAATGCATGAAGTAAGTTATTAGATCCTATGAAGAGGAGAATGGAAACGTGTACTAAGACATTCATGAAACAAAAATTCTTCTAAAATCAGTCAAATGGTAACATGGGCAGATAACGTTGTTTCTAGAAGACCTTTAATGTTGAGTTTTGTCTATGTAGCATCAATAACTAAACACACCTGCCATTCTTTGTGGGTTTAAATAATGCATCTCTGCTAACGTTTTTGGTATTGTAATAGGAATGGCATTTTCCAAAGTAAGATTGATTTTAAACACCCAAAATCAATTGTGTTGTTTCTCTTGTCTTATGGCTGGATTTATTCCACATCAGTCAATTATAAAGTTTTTGAATAGAAGTAAAACTGTAACATTCTGTCACAAATGGGCTGGGTATAGATTTCAGAAGATTTTCTAAGTCAAATGTTTAACACTTAAATAAAGGAGCAGAAATGGCAACTAGAATCAGGCAGGCAGATAATTTTCTTTCCTACTTTGTCTACAGTTGTGACTATAAATACAAAAATAATGAAAAACAAAACAAAACTGTTTCTTTCAACTAATGACTCTTGGCTATATCTCAAACTTGAGCAGAAAGCTGTATTCTTCCTAACTTGATGTAATAATGTTCCTACTATTGGTCATGGTTAACTAATAGTGTTCTTTAGGTTTATTTTGTAGTGGAATGCTTTCCACAATAACTGTTCATATTAAATTTAAATTCAGGGCATGTGTTTTCACTGTAGGGATACATAAACCCCTGAATACATTTCTATCAGATTCCTGTCTCAGATCAATTTTCACAACTTTGGAATCTAGCAATCCTGGGAACACACAGTATAATATTCCCCATATTGTGATCTAGTTTGATACATAACTTTGTAACTTGTTATACAATATCTTTAATATGGAGTGGTAAGGATTGTAATACCAGGAAAGAAAGGAAATTGTCGCATAGACACAAATCTCATAAAATTATAGATGCAGGGTTAGATTTTAAATGAAGGTGCTGGTTTCAGTGATGTTGCATCCAGGAAAATGAGAAGATAATTTGACCTGCACTGTATTTAGACAATAAGCCATTGTCACATTAGGTGATTTTGAGTGACCAGCTCCCAAACCAGGATTTGTTGTGATCTAAGGGCTATGTGCTCTTTAAGGCTCCCCATATTTGGAATTTCCATTGGGGTGTAGGTGGGGTATCCTGTTGATGGAGATGGAAGTTCAGCTGTGTATAGAGAAAACTATGAGACACTAACGATACCTAAATGGTAGCATCTACAGTATAAGTATTAATATTTACAAATAATAAGTATTAATAATTACTAATGATAATACTGGAATCAAATAAGCAATAATCAGAACTGGAGAGACAACTGTTATAACCCTAAATGGTGGACAGATTATATGGTTTTATTCTCTTTGACATCTTATGAAACTCAGCATTTTCATGGCTTTGGTTAATCATTTTGAGGTTTGGGGGAAGCTTTTTGTTTGGTTGCTTTGTTTTGTTTTTTTAAGAGTTTCACCTTCCTGAAAGTCACATACTGTATCTTCACCTTCCAGTAGCACATTCTGTAGATCTAATTTGTGGTCGGCATGGTTTACTTTGCAGATAAACCAGAAGCATTACACTGCAAGACAAATGGTGAATAAACATATTTGCTTAAACGTAAAATGTCTGTGCTAGTGTGTTTCACAGGAGCAATAAAATAAGTTAATTTAATTGCCTCATCTTTCCAAAAACTTGTATCCTTGTTAGGTAATCAAGGCTGTGGATGAAGGGTACCGCTTGCCACCTCCTATGGACTGCCCAGCTGCCTTGTATCAATTGATGCTGGACTGCTGGCAGAAAGACAGAAATAACAGACCCAAGTTTGAGCAGATTGTCAGCATCCTGGACAAACTGATCCGTAATCCCAGCAGTCTGAAAATAATCACTAATGCGGCTGCAAGGTGACATGTTAAATTCTGCATCACACTTACTGAATATCAGTGTTTGCTTTCTCCATCTACAGCAATTAAAATATGTTTGCTTTGTCCATCCATTTTCTCGGTTTTATCCATTGCTTATTTGCATGCTTGAACACTAGAGACAGCTTTCCACTCTCTGGTTGGAAGAGATTATTTTAAATAAAATTTTTGTTTGCGCTGGTGAAACCCAGCTAATTTTAAGGAAAGCTGTTAAATGTGGGTGAATGAATATCTGGATTGCAGGTCACGTTGTTTTGGATCCTGCAGTGTGTTGAGTTCCCTTATCTCCCACTGACTTCAGTTGATGCTGAGTGTGGTCGGTATCTCCCAGCAGCTGTGATTCAGCAAGCTACATAAGCATTTAAATAGCCACATTCACTAAAATGGAGAGATTCCGGGGCTTGTAACTAAGCATGTGCTAAAGTATCTTGCGGAATGGTGTCCATGTATGTATTGCCCCCACTTTTTTCTGGCCTCATCCAGCAAATTGCCTAAACACAGGAGTATTCCCATGACCTAGCATGCACTTCAGCGTTTTGCTGAGTCAGGGCCTTCATGGAGATCTCAGGTCTCATATGAATGCTGACATAGTACTTCTAATTGCACTAGAAAGACTCATTCATAGCCCTGCTCATCCAGGGGGTGCTGGGGCATAAGCAATGTCCTGTTAGAGAAGGGAATATTTACCCTGATAGTGTCTTCTAAAAAAATACTGTAGATATAAAATCCTCTTCTCTGTGGCTTTTAATCGTATATGTTTAAATGTGTTTGGTAATACACTGGTGTTTTTTACAACAGTCACTACCCTCTTATGTCCAAATGAAATGCATATTACTATAGGTGCATAGTTTATCACCATCCTCTGCTGCATTACTTTCTCACTTACGTTAAGCCCCAGTGGAGGAAAGCACTTAAGCATGTTCTTCGTTTCGTCCCAATTGAATCAGTTAACTATGTGCTTAAGTGCTTTGCTGAATTCAGAACTTTAGTCTGTACAAATTTCATGGTGTCCCAATCTGCTTAAGCAGGAGCAGGCCTGCCAATGGAAGGGGGCAAAAGAGGCAGTTATCCCAGGGCCTGGCAATTCAAAGGGGCTGAGGTGCCTGGCCCTGCTGCTACTACTATAGGGACAACCAGAGCTCTGGCCCTTTAAATTGCCACCAGAGCACCACTTCATATGTGCCACGCAGCTCTGAGGGTCATGGTCCAGGAAGAACTGCGGGCTGGCTGCCCTCTGACCCCACCCCTTTCACTAGAGGCTCCTCCTCTTCTTGGGCCACAGCTCTGGGCCTTCCCCACACCTTAACCAGGGGCCTCTGGAAGCTGTCAGCCTCCCTGAGCAGGAGTCTCTGTGATACAAAAATTGAGACAGATAGTGTGATGGTGTTTAAAGGGGTTGAATTTTCTGGGTTCCACTCCCTTAGTCCTCGTAGTATAGTCCCTGATTCCCTCATCTTGAAAGGGGTCATGGGTAGTGGTTCCAATTACCTAAATGCTCATCTTTCAGCTTGCTGAACCTAATCTGCCCAGATGGTACAGTGAAAACTGTTGTCTCCTTGTAGGCACAGTGAATGGCCTGAGAACAACCCCCCTTCCCCTGATGGTTTACAAGAGTCTCTCTTGGAAGCTGTAGAGCCACAGTCTGCTCTCTCAGCAACTGGCTAGAAATTCCTGCTTTTTAGATCTCAGATATTCACACTTAACAGGATTGACAGGAACAGAGGTGCAGGGCCTGCACACAGGAGCTTTTTAATCCCTTAAACCGATAGTGCAGGGCTTTTAACTCCATCAAAGTTTATTTCTCATTTACAATGTATGTTCTGCAGTTACGTATTCTTTGTGAAGTCTGTCTTTACTTGGCTGTGTATATACTTGGTGCACTCATATCCCTATGGCTTCTCCTGTAGAAGTAAGTGTCTAGTTATGTGATGTAGAAACAGAATACGGCTACAAGTGAAGTTGTGCAAGTCATATAATTTTGCCAAAGCATTGCATAACCTAATAATAATTTCCTTTCGTTCACGCCTTGCTATTTTTTCTTGGTATCTGAGCATTATGTTTGCTTTTATAATTGAATCTCTAGGTTGTTTGGATATTTGTAGTGGAAATGTACTGGAAATGAGTTCATAGTTCTTCCAGTTTTCATCAATTCCATTACTTTTGTACTTGGATTTATTATTTTTGAATCTAGTGTGTATTCAATGACACTCAATTACAAAGAGATGAAAAACTTTTCAAATTACAATGGGGTGAGTCAGAAATATTTCAACCACCCCATAACGAGTTGGTGACGCTGGGGTCCAATTCAGTTTGTTGATTCTTTTTTCATTTGTGAGACACAATGGAAACCATAAGTTGCATAATTGAAAATATTTCCAAAACAACAATAATCTGAAATGGGCTTCTGACACTTCATTTTTTGTCTGCTATAGAGGCTGTTTTGAGATTTCTATGATTCTTCAAACTCTAATGAGCAAACTTTTTTTTGGCTAGATTTCAAGGAAAATTTTTTATCTCAGGTACTTCTACACTGCAGCACTATTTCAGGATACTTCCGGTGTCCCAAAATAGCTATTCGGCATCTTGATAGCATGCCTAATATTTCAAAATATTTTTCAAAATAACGGGTGCGCTATTCCGACGTCCCTGTAAACCTCATTCCACAAGGATTAAAGGACATTTCAGAATAGCAGTTTATTTAGAAATTTGGCATTGTATAGACAGCACGAAATTACAAAATAAGCTATTTCAAAATACACTCAAAATAAGCTATGCAATTTGCGTGGCTCAAATTGCATAGCTTATTTCAAGCTAAAAGTACAAGGTAGATGTACTCTTATAGGTGTGATGGATGAAAATTTATATCATCATGGGCATAAGCAGTCAGAACACTGAACTAAATAAATATATATATAATTAAAATGTAATAAAACTTCATTAGAAGTACTGCAGTGACCCCAAATGTGTTGTGTTAATGGGCAAAGCATGGTTTCCAGGCAACTTTACACTGAACTAAGAGTGAGGTGCAGGGTTAAATTAAAGAATTTAGGGGCCCTGTTCACTATGAAAATTGTGTGTGCACTGGGGGGTGAACTGCCCCCAAAGAATGTGATGGAGGAGCTCAGGTCCTACCCCTACCAGCTTACCTAAGGCTGGTGAGCAATCTGGTCGATGATGAACCCCTACCAGTTCCTGTCCCACAGGGCTGGGTCCTGTCCATAGTCCAGCCCATTGGTTCTCAGCACAGCATTCATAGAGGACAAAACTTGAGTGTGCGCCCCAGTCCATTCAAATTTAGCTAAGCCACTCCTCATAGTTTTGGGGCAACAAAGTCAAATCTAGTTGAATGGAGGTCTCCCTCAGTTTGGGGTCTCAGTGCAAGTCAACATTGGTTTGTCCAGGCCTGGTTTGAAGACCAGCATATTATTTGTCATGAGCAAAATCTCTTGATCTCTTTGTGTCTTATTGACCCTATTTCTAAAATGGAGCTAGGTTAATCCATAGAACTCGTTAAACAAATCTGGGGGAGGGGGAATTAGTGGGAAAAGAAAATAGTTTCCCCCATTTTTCTAATTCCAGAAATTAAAACATTGAAACTCTACATTCTGTTACATTTTAACATTTGCAAAATTTCCTTCAGCTACATGGTTGATCACAAAATTTCAGAAGGGCTGTTCTTCTCTTTTCAATTTTGAGATTAGAAATAATTCTATCATTCTTACCTTCCTCTTTGAGACTGACAAGTGAAATGGTAGTGATTACTAGGAAGTGGACTGAAACCATTAGTTCATGTCTCTTTCATAAAATTACCCTTCTTTCCATTTCCTCTACACAATTTGCAAATCAGAAACTATTTAGCAATTTTTAACGAAGGACAAATATAACAAAACTGGTAGTTGTTATCATTAATCAGCTCATTTAGTTTTTTACACGAGAGGCTACCAATTTTTTCTGCAGTCTGGCTTTAGCATACTCCTGCCTGCAAGAAATAGTGTGTTTTTAAACAAGGACTAGTAGATTCTGAAGAATGACTGATTCTGATCACAGATAGTTCACTTAGGGTTTGTCTACACAAATGTTTAGTTTGGTGCATGCTGATATGTGACCCTATGCCATGCTAGCCTGCAGTAAACTAAATGTCAGCATGGATTCCACTGATATGGACTATAGACTTTGGTCTACTGCACTTCAAACCATTAGTAGATATAAGTGTACTAAGTAGATGATAGTGTATCTCAGCAGGGTCCTCACAGACATTTACTGCATAGTAGCCTATTGTGGGGTAGATTTACATAGCAGCTTGGTACAAATTAAATGTTTGTGTAGGCAAGTTCTAAATTAACCCCTCTGCCAATCTGTAAAATATGGATAACACATGCCTTTTTCACAGGAAGATTAATTAGTTAATATTTGCTAAGTCTGTGGAACATGAAAAGTGTGACAAGTTGGCTAAATACCAATAGTTAGTAGCATACAGCTTCTAGATCTGCAGACATAGCTCTTTGTTGTAGCAGTAAATCACTACAAAATATTTTAAAGGGCTAGTAATTCATGCAAACTTGATCTAATTTGGAAAAATCAAAAGGCTTCAGCAAAAGCATTTGATTGAAAACCAAACTGAGGATGACTCTTACTACAGAAATAGTAATAGAAATGTAGCTGTGTTAGCTACAGAAATAGTAATAGAAATGTAGCCGTGTTAGTCTGGTGTAGCTGAAACAATATACAGGATTATGTAGCACTTTAAAGACTAACAAGATGGTTTATTAGATGATGAGTTTTCATGGGCCAGACCCATTTCCTCAGAAATGGGGAACTTCCCAACTTACTTTCTTGCTACAGAAATAGTTACCTTTATGGAGGCCAAAAGCTGGAGTGGAAATATAACAAACTCAGTCCTCAATTTAAGGTATTTTTTTCAGAAATAAAGCACAGGCGCCTGTGAAATGATATTTTATTTTTGTTTTTATAAGCTCTCTTTG